TAGATCAGACTTGTAGTGATCCGCCTGTTTATAGCTTCCCAAGAGCTGGGATTACACACCACCATGCCCAGTCTCTTTAGACAAATTTTTAAAATGTTTGAAACAAGGCTTTTCTTAAGTTATTAAATTGCCCAGCCTGAGCGCAAACTCATGCTCTTCCTGCCCCAGTTCCTGAGTAGCTGGGGTGAAGGAAGTGTACATCTATGCCTGGTAGGAAGGTGAATCTGTATTCTAGGTTGGGTAGGAGAATTTGGAGAGAAGCGCTTGCTGGGTCCAGGGTGGAGAAGGGTGGGTGACAGCAGAATCTGTTCAGAGGGAGGAGCATGGGATTTCCTGGTAGGTTGGAGGTAGGGCTGAGGAAAGAGAAATTGAGAGGGTTTTGTTGTTTTGCAGTACAGGGAATTGAACTCAGGACCTTGAGCTTGCCAGGCAAGCACTTATTCTACTAAGCTATCTCCCCAGCAAAAGAGAGAAATTGAAGGTGGCTTCCAGGTCTTTGAAATGAAGGACCGAGTGGCTGGAGTTGCCTGCCACACAGTGACAGGGAGTAGAGTTGAGGGAATCTAAATTCAGTTTTGGAAGCGTTCAGAGATTTGTTTTGTCTTGAGCCTCTGGTCTATGCCTAAAGCTCAAGGCAAAAATATAAATTTGGGAGACATCAGAATTGAGATGGTGTCATTTTTTTTTTTTCTTCAGTGCTGGGGTTCTAATTTTTTTTCATTTTGAGATAAGTTCTCTCCAAATCACTTAGTTGCCTGGGCTGGGCTTAAAGTTATCACCCTTCTGCCTCAACCTTCTAAAGTGCTGAGATTCCAGGTGTGCACCACCACAGGCAGTTAACCGAGAAGAATTTAAGGAAGAGATGAGTCACAAGGTTAACACAGGCCCCACAGTAAAGCACCCTGGGGTAGCAACATCCTGTTGCAGGTTCCACCTTCTTGGCCCAGCCAGGGAAGGCCTACAAAGCAGAAGTCAGAAGTCTGGGGATTTAGGACACAGGGAGCCACCCACCAGGATGGCCACAGGGAGGCTGCAGGTGTCCATGGTTGGAAAATGCTCCATGGGATGGGGCGGGGAACCTGGTTAGCCTCGCTGGAGTGACCTAGAAGGGACCCAGGGGAAGCAGCTAGAGGGATACAGCTTTTAGGGAATCACCAGTTTTCCTCCTTGTCACCACTCCGGGAGCTAGGCACCACTGTCCCCATTCTACAAACAACCCTGCAGAAGGTTCTCACCTTGCTCAGGTTAAGGGGAGGGTGGGAGCCCACCTGGCCTTATGCTAATTAGGCTGGTGGTGTCAGAGGGGGATGGTCAGAAGGAGGGTGGAGCAGTGTGGGTTGCTCTCTGGGAGGCTGAGGCAAGAGGATTGCAAATTTGACTTTAGGCCTGGCAAGTTAGTCTTAGGGAAGCCCTGTCTATAAATACATACATACATACATACATCATCCATCCATCCATCCATCCGTACATCCATCCATACATACATACAGGCTGAAGTAGCTCAGAGAAAAGGATTCAATCCCCACTGCTGAGAAAAAGGGGTGGAGAAGAGGGAGGGAGGTAAGAGCAAAGGTCAGGACAGAAGGGATGATCAAATAGTCAAATAGTTGGGTTACTGGGTGTTCCTGAGGCTGTGTAACCATTCCTCGTTTTCTTTAGGTAACTTTCTTCTTTCTTCCGGGTTATCCTAGATTAATGGTGGTGCTGGGTGGACCGATTCTGGCAAAAGCCTGTTTCTGTTTGACCACTGTAATCCCAAAACTCTGAGCAAGGCTGAGGCCGTAGGATCAAACAGTTCCAGCCCAGCCTAGGCATTTAGCCACATAAGGAAGCCCTGTCTCAAAACAGAAAATACAGCAGGAATTAGATGTGTTGAATGCCGTGGGCTCCTCACGGGCGGCTCCACGTGGGGACGTACATCTTGCGCTTGAACTTGATCTAGTCTCTGCCGCAAGCGCTGCTGCCTTCAGCTCCGTGGATGTTCCTGGCCCCAGTTGGAGCAAAGCTAAGGCCTGAGCCGACGCCCGAATCCATCCATCTCGCTAGGGCACTTGGACGCAACTGCCCCAGCCTCTGCAGGGAGAGGAGGGCAACCCCCTCGGAGGTCTCCTAGGGCTCCTAGGGCTCCTAGGGCGGGTAGGGAGGAGACCCAGGTCCTGAAACCACAGCCCGTGCGCGCGTTAGTGCAGAGTGGGGTCCTCCAGGCCAGGGTTGTTCCTGGACCCATGCTGGTGGTAGGCAGCTTTGGAATTGAGGCTCCTCTTTGTATCCTCTGGGGCCACGTCTCCAGGGCAAGGCTCAAGACTTGGGACCAAAAAGGAACTAGAGCAAGAACAGCAGGACGCCGCCCCGGAGCGGTACGCGTGACCCTGCCGCTTGTTCAGGGGACCCCACCGAGCGCCCCCCCCTGCCCTGAGGGCGGAGCCAGGGCGGGGCCCAGAGCTGCCCGCAGGTGCGCGGGCAAGCCGGGCCCTGCCCTCCGGGGCGCTCGGAGGCCAGAGGCGGGTCACAGGACCAGAGGGCGACGCCCTAGAACTGTGAGGCGACTGCTGCCACAGGTGCTGCGCAGGGCACCGTGTCAGCCGGTGGTGGCACCCGAGGCTCCCAAACTGCTCATAACCCTGGACACCGAGGCCCACGGGCCGGAAAGTGGAACCCTGGGGTCGCTTGCAGCTCAGGGCCACGAGCCCTCCGGGCCCGATAGCGCAGCCCAGGAGCCCGCTACACAGCAGGCCCCCGAGATCCCCAGGCCGGGAGTGGAAGTCCCTGAGCTCGCCTCGGAGCAAGACGTTGAGACCACTGAGCCGGGGAGCAAGATCCTGCAGCCACTAGCCGAGCAGGACGCCGAGCGCTGGGGACTGTGCGCAGCTGCGGGCTCCGAGCGTCCAGGGCCAGGTAGCGACTACGGCCCCGGGCTGTGTGCGGTGCCCAGCGCGGAGGCCTCGGAGCAAGGCCCATCTGCCAGGCCTGAGACCCCAGCCTCGGGCTTAGACGCTAAGGCTTCCACGCAGCACCGGCCGCGGGTTCCCGAAAACCCCGAAGGGTGCCCCGGGGAGCCGTCCATGGAGACGCCCATCGAACGTGAGATCCGCCGCAGCTGCGAGCGTGAGCAGAGCCTGCGCCGAAGCCGAGGCCTGAGCCCAGGCCGAGCGAGCGAGGAGCTCGTGGAGCTGCGCGTGCGGCCACTGCTGCACCTGCCAGGCCCCAGCCCCGCGCTCCCGCGCGCGGTGGAGCGCGCGCGGGCGGGCGCTCAGATGCAGCGGGACATCGAGCGCGAGGCGCACCGGCAGGCGGCGCTGCTGCACCTCGCGGGCTGCGAGCCGTGCGTCCGGCCGCCGCAGCTGCCACTAGGTGAGCTCCGGCGCTTCTTCGAGGCGGCGGCTGGGGGCGGCTCCGCTGGGGGCGACGTGGGCCAGCAGCAGCTGCCGGATGTCGCCGCCCGAGCGCGCTCGGGGGTGCAGGTCCGGTGCCCAGTGTTGGCCCGCGCCCCGCCGCCACTCGCGCCATCCCTCCTGGAGCAGGAGGTGCGCCTGGTACGCGAGCGCGAGCAGGAGCTGCAGCGGCAGCGGCGTAGCGTCTACGGCACCACAGAGTTCAAGGAGCCGGCGCCAAGTCTCACCGGTGAGCCGGGACGCCGGGGACTGCCCAGCGCCAAGGGCTCTTCCTCTGGCGCTGTGATTCTTGGGACTCTCACTCCAGGATCTCAGATTCCGGGGATACCTGCCCACTCTCTGTGCCCCATCCCACCTTGAAAGGTGGAGTCCAGCTCCACATCACCTAGACTTGGGGAGGGACTTCAGGACTCTTGCCTCTGCACTCCAGGTTCCCGCGCTCCTTTTCCCGGGTCCCCAGAACTGGGTGGAGGCCTCCGTGACAACGGGTGTGTGTATGTGTGTGTGTGTGTGTGTGTGTGTGTGTGTGTGTGTATGTGTGTGTGTGTGTAGCTATATGTATTTAAGGGGCGCGGCCGGCCTTCTCTATCCTTGCCGCTCGCAGCTGGTAATAGGAGGGGCCCCAGCTGATTGTCTCCTCTCGCAGCGAGCCGGGGCGACGGAAAGCTGGCGGTGACCTGGCCCCCCCGGAGAAAGGCCCCGGACAGCGGCCAGGAGCAGGTGGGAGACGCTCCCCATCCGCCCACCCCCATCCTGTCGTTTTGCAACCGTCCCTGCGGCGCCAGAACGCGAAGCGGGGGGGGGGGGGGGGGACGGACGGACTGCAACTTCCAGACCCTGGAGCCACACTGTAGTGTAGAATTCAAAGTCGGAGAGCAGCCGGGGGATGGAGGGGTGAAGAGGAGGCGGTGATCCTGGGGCCAACATCACTCCAGCCTGGCCTGGCTGCGGTGCAGTGTAGTCCCTGAGCGAGGCCTGTCCTTCTCTCTCTAGGAGGGGTGCAGACCCTGAGGCTTGGATGGGCTGGGATCTCTGGCCGGAAGTAGCACACCCGGGCGGGGGCCTAGCAACGCGCACTCTTGACCCTCAGGAGTAGACCCGGAACGGCCTGGCTTTGTGCACTGCAAACCTGCAATCGACCTGCACATCCTTGATCTTGGCCTGGTGGGACGCGCCAGCCCCTCCTCTAAAACTATTTGGTCTTCTTTGGGAACCTGACCGCCACTTGCAGCCCTGTGAGTGAAACCGACCGCTCTCTCCACGTAACGGAACACGGAGTTAACTTTTTCTGTTAAGAGAGCCAGGGCTACCACACACCACCAATAAAGACCTCTCCTTTCTGGGCAATGCAAGCTGTTTTCTTCTGAGTCCTCTTCGTCTGGGGTAGAGTGGGCGGAGGGAGGTCTGAAAAAGCCGCCGTGGCGCCGGCCGGAATGCGGGAATGTGCCCTTGTCGCCTGTGCCAGCGCTGCCCTCCTCCCCTAGCGAGCCCAGCCCAGGCCGGCTCCCACTGCCCCCTGGCGGCGCCGGTGCAAAATGTGCTGCTTGTTGCAAGCTCACGCGCTGCTTTCTAGACTTCAACTTTTATGTGTCAACAGCTTGCTCAGCTCTGGGCACCGACTAGACGGAAATCACATGAGCAGTTCTTGATCTAGAGATGTAAACAACACCTTTAAAAAAGAGGCTGGGAATGATGATGGTCCCAGTTTCCCCTAGATAACAGCCGTTCCTGGTAATCCTCCTCCACCAATCTCACTATCAGTAAGGCAGGGAGTGGGGGCAGTTTGTGCTTTCCAAAAGCAACCGGAAGACCAGATCTTTGGTACATGCCAACTACTTGGGAAGCGCTTAGTCCACTGAGCCATCTCCCCAGCCCATGTCAACTACTTGGGAGGCTGAGACAGAATGATTGCTGGGGCCCAGGAGTTCCAGACCGCCTGGGCAACCTTAGCTAGACAGTGTGAAATGCACACAGCAGTCACCCGGCTATTAAAAGAAAATGTAGAGGCCAGTCCTATGGCAGAGCTGTTGCCTAGCATCTGTGAGGCTCTTATCACCCACCCCACTCCCAGCCTTTGCATAAAGATACATTCTCAGCCTTTAAATTTTTTTTTTTTTTTTTTTTTAGACAAGATCTCCTTAAGTCACTGCACTAATTTGCCCAGGCTAAGCTCCAATTTGCAATCTTTACTGAGAAACTCTCTCAAAATTAAAAAGGCAGGGGCCGGGGAGATGGCTCAGAATAAGTGCTTGCCTGGCAAGGACAAGGGTCTAAGTTCAATCCCCTGTTCTGGAAATAAAATAAAATAAAAAAGAGGGCTGGGGATATAGTTCAGGGTGAAGACCCTTGGTTTAATCCTCACTGCAGAAAAAAGTCTTGGCTCTAACTCTGTCTTCTGCACAGGGAAAGCAAGTGTCTAGTGAAATAAAAATTAAGCTGGAGCTGCCAAGACTAAACAGAGCCTGTACTTTTTTGTTGTTGTTGGTTGTCTTTTTGAGACAGGATCTCATTATGTAGTTTCAGGCTGGCCTTCAGCTCACTTTGTAGCCCAGGCTGGTCTCAAACTCACAATGATTCTCCTGCCTCAGCCTCCCAAATGCTGGGATTACAGGTGTAGGTCACCATGCCTGGCTAACACAGCACTTCCCAGGAGGGAGCTAAGCACTAATCATGGAGAGTGGACAGGACTGTTTATGTATAGACTGGAGGTTTTCTATTTTTCCTAAATATTAAACTTAACTGAGGTCCTCTATGCCAGTTAAATCAGAATGGGGGATGATGGTGACCACTTTTTTTTTTCTTTTCAAAGTTTTATTGATAAACATATAGCAATGAGACAGTTTCAAATCAAATCGAAAGTACAGTTTCAACAAATAATACACTGCATATATTCTTCTTAGTGGTTAATTGCTGTACAAGATGCAGACTTGTGATCCTACTTACAAACGATGGTGACCACTTATTTTGGTTTTGTTTTGTTGGGGTGGCTATAGAGATCAAATCCAGAACTTTGTGTGTATATGCATGTGTGCACCTGTGCACACGTTCACATGTGTTTGAGACAGGGTCTCAGTATGTACCCCAGGCTGGCCTCGAACTCACAGCCATTCTCCTGCTTCAGCCATCTCAGGGCTGAGATTACAGGTTTTTGCCATCAGGCTCAGACAAATACAGGGCCTTGCATGTGCTTGGCAAATGCTTTACAAATGCTGAGTCACATCCTCAGTTTGATAGCAGTGTTTTTTAAAGCTCCCCAGGTTAACTGGGTACTGAGGTCCAGGCTAGTAATCCTAGCTCCTAAAGAGACTGAGCAGAAGGACCACAAGCTCAAGACCAGGCCAGGGGACAGGGAGATGGCTCAGTAGGATAAGCACTTGCCTGGCAAGCGCAAGGGGCTGAGTTCAATCCCCGGTTCCACCAAAAAAAAAAAAAAAGAAAAGAAAAGACCAGGACATCTTGGGCAATTCCCTGGGACCCAGTGTCACAAGACTAAAAGGATGGGGGTGTCACTCAGTCCAGACCTGATGATGCAACTGCACGAGACATTGACATAAAGTTTGAGAATCATGGGTTCAGACAGTTCCTGAGAAACAGGGCCCAGGAAATCAAGCTTGCTTCCTTCCTCTTCCAGTACTGCTGCCACCACTGGAAACCTTTCGTTTGTAAGCAAACCATGGGATGCACTCGCAGTGTTAAATATGCAACAGATTTATTTTATTTTATTTATTTATTTATTTATTTATTTATTTATTTATTTGAGACAGTCTCTTGCTATGTAGCCCAAGCTGGCCTGGAACTCACAGAGTCCCTTCTGCCTCACCCTTCTGGGTGCTGGGATTTCAGTGCTTCCATGCCCACCCTACAGATTTCAAAGACAGTACATATACACCAAAAGTAATCACATTAGGGCTGGTGAGATGGCTCAGTGGTCTAAAGCACCTACTTAGAACAAGCTTAGCAAAGCACAGGGACCGCAGTTCAATCCCCCAGCGCCACATGCCAGCCAGCCCCGCCCCCTGGTGGGCTGAGCTGGCCCTGCACACACACACACAAATAAATAAATTAAAAAAAAAAGGACAAAAGTAATCACATTAAAACTCATTTTTAAAAGTTTGTTTCAAAGATAACAAACAAAAATGATAATTTTAAAACAGGAATTTGGAGCCGGGGAGATGGCTCAGTAGAATAAGTGCTTGCCTGGCAAACGCAAGGGTCTCAGTTCAATCCCCAGTTCCGCCAAAAAAACAAAAACAACAACAAAAAACCCCAGGAATTTAACAATGGTCATTATATTGCATATTTTTATTTTCAAAGATTGATCAAGCAATATAAACTTTCAATGAACTAACAGAAATCAGTAGTACAATTATCTTTTTTTTTTTTTTTTTGGTGGAAC